TTCCCCAGGCAGTCAGTACCACAGGCATATGTTTTGAGATTTGTTTCTTCCCCCAAGAGGTTACGGTTCTGGGAGAGAAAAAAAGGGCCTCCGCCCTTGGCTCAGCAGACCGCATCACCATTAACAAATGTTTTTATCATCATAAATTACATGGAGCTGAATGCTGATATGTCTTTATGCCTCTTACCTTTCTTCTCAACACATATTTGCCAAGTGTTAATGGGAGGTGAAATTCAGGGTGGTTAAGAGTACAGATTTTTTAAGCCGGATAGACTTGGATTGGAATCCATGCTTCAGTTTAGGAGCCAGATAGCCTGGGGCTCAGTTAAGCGACTTAATCTTTTTGACCTCAGTTTACTGACATACAAAACGAAGATAATGAAAGTACCTATGTCATTGGGTTATTGTGAGAATTAAAAGGGGGAAAGGTAAATTGAATGGCACAACAGAGGGGAAGAAATATATCTGAAGATTAAATAATTTGTATTTCTGTAAGGAGAGTTCTAATAAAAAGGCAGTTGATTCTCAAATATGTATGCATAGTTTGTCAGACCAGCATTTTGAGTAGGTACTGTGTACCAGTGGACTGGGTTATACAGTAAATAAGATACCCTTTCTGCCTTCATGGAGTTCACAAGGAATACTAATACGATTTAACATTCATTGTCAGGATGACTTTAACTGCTATCTTTTCTGTCTTCTCCTTCCTTTATAGGAAGATAATCTTGGGAATCATCTGAAATTGTCCTTTTAGGAGTCACAGATTTTTAATGACTAAATTGGAAATCTAGTTTCTTTCTATCTCTCACCCCCCCTCCATTTTATAGAATGCTTTGAGAGAATTCTGGACTGACTTAAGGTTGTACAGCAAATTGGTAGCAGAACAGGAACTAGACCCCTGAGAGTTCTTTCTTCCAGTCTTAGAGCACTTCCTGGATGCCTGCCCCAGCTAGCACCGTGTCAGACATTTTACTGAAACTCAGGAGTTGTGGGAAATCTGGGTTAAGGCACCCCTTGAAAAGTCAAGTGATTCCTATTTAGATTCTTAATAGACAACAGTAACATATGTGAGTATTTCATTCTCTTCCTGCTGCTTAACAAGGCTTGACTGTGGAGGCCCTCATAGGAATCATTTTAAAAAGAAGTGTTGGCCAGGTGTGGTGGCTCACGCCTGTAATCCTAGCATTTTGGGAGGCCGAGGCAGGAGGATTGCTCAAGGTCAGGAGTTCAAAACCAGCCTGAGCAAGAGTGAGACCCCCGTTTCTACTAAAAATAGAAATAAATTAATTGACCAACTAAAAACATATATATATATATATACAAAAAACTAGCCGGGCATGGTGGCATATGCCTGTAGTCCCAGCTACTCAGGAGGCTGAGGCAGAAGGATTGCTTGAGCCCAGGAGATTGAGGTTGCTGTGAGCTAGGCTGATGCCACAGCACTCACTCTAGCCTGGGCAACAAAGTGAGACTCTGTCTGAAAAAAGAAAAGTAAAAAAAAAAATGTGTTAATAAGTGATTATGTGCCAGGCACTGTTGTGAGGTGAGGCAACTGAGACAGGCAATGTAACTTGCTGAATTGTCACAGGGCCAGTTGAGGAGGTAGGATTTGAACCAAAACAACTTAACCATTCACTGTCTTTACCTTCTATTATTATGTTAAAACCTAGTATTTGTATTAATAGATTATTGCATGTCACCAGCCATTTTTGAGGCTCTTTTTTTTTTTTTTTTGAGACAGAATCTCACTCTATTGCCCAGGTTAGAATGCAGTGACCAGATCACAGCTCACTGCAAACTCAAACTCCTGGGCTCAAGGAATCCTCCTATGTTAGCCTCCAGAGTAGCTGGGACTACAGGAATGCACTACCATGCCTGGCTAATGTTTCTATTTTTTGTAGAGACAAGTCTCCGTATGTTGCCCAGGCTGGTGTCCTGGTCTCAAACTCCTGGCCTCAAGAAATCCTCCCACCTCAGCCTCCCAAAGTACTGGGATTACAGACATGAGCCACCATACCTGGCTCAAGGCTACTTTTTATTCTCCTAATGTAATTGTGAGGAGTGATAAGAATTGTTTTGTACTGTTTCATACGTAGGAAAATGGAGTGAAAGTGTCAAAATGACCAGTAATGCTGTGGATTGCTGCTTTCCTGTCCGGGCCACCTCTTCTTGCCTTCAGAGCTCTCAGAGCTAAAAAACTGGTGGTTCTTTTAGGAAAGGAAATGATCTCAAATTTGATTGATAATCATCATAGTTAAATATAAAGACTTTTGAAGAGTTGGATAATTTTACCTCTTCAAATAATGCAAGAAAACTTTAAAGGAATTTCAAGTTCAGCAAAATCCTTTGAGTCTTGTGCTGTTACTGTGGTTTATCTTTCTTCACTGTACTTTGAAGTGAAAGTGCCAGTGTGTGTCATTTTTGGAACAGAATGGCCAAGATTCCAAAATTCAAGTCTATCATTATCATTAATTAAACTGTACTTCTTATGATCTTATGTAAGATGCTAGTTATTGTTCTGGACATTAATAAAGCAAGCAAAATAATATTAGATTATCTGTAATTTAATACTTTCCTAAAGACATATGTAATTGTTAAGTTACTGTGATATTTGTTTTCTGGGTCATGGGGTTGATCAATTGGGGAGAGCCTTTGCAACTGGGACTAAGCTATATTTAAACAAAGATATATCATGAGTTGTGTATCTTGCACATTTTTTTTTCTCCCAAAGCATCTAGTGAAAGTCTCAGCATTACTAGCCCTTGAAATCTTTTGTATTTGCAAATGAATTGGTGTGAAGGAATTAGGATTAAGCTGTAGTCCTGATTAATATCAGGTGAAGCTTTACTTTTTTGATGTACACTAAAGAATGTTTACTTTGAAAACTTGCCCTGAATGTATACTAATTTCCCATGATTTGTCTCCCTTATGTGGCAAGCTGAGTATTATCTGTTGAATTTGAATTCATTAAAAGGATGTAATAGAGAAATTAAGCTTTCTATATGATTTCTAAAGAAACACCCCAGAATATAAATGCAAACTAACAAAATAAAACATATCTTTTAAGTGAAGAACAATGTGGTGACCAACAAAATGAACGAAGCATATTTGCAGGGCCTATAAATGGCTGGTCATAAGACAACTTCTTGGCATAAGCATTTGGATTCCTGCAGAGTCGGGCTTTCTGTTTTGGAAATGGATCACATCATAGATTTTGAAAATGAGTGGTGTTATTCTTGACTCTTTCAAAATATATCCTTCTGACCTTTCAGTTCCCTCCACCTTCTCTGCTGCTATCACAAGTCAAATTTGGTTAAGGGAAATATATTAAGAGTAAAACTATTTTAGCCATCTGCTTTCCTTTCCCACTTCCAAAACAAATTAAACACTTTCAAGGATTTATATAAACCTCTCCCAAAAAGCTGATAAAAGCAATGAAACTAAATATTTATTAAAGTTTTTGGAAAAAAATTCTGTTTTTGGATTCCTACTCTATAATATTTATAAAGTGATTTGAAGGCAAAAGTGCCTGGTAGAACTAAAAATGAATGCCAGTGATTGTTAATAATACTATCATGTCTGCAGCAGTCTCTTTTGACTTGTAGTTCAATGGAATCCTTCATTATACCACAGCTGCTTTTCTCCTTTTGCTGAGTTAAGTGGTTGGGCATTGCCTTTACAAAACTATCAAATTACTGGGATTCCATTTCTGATAAAATGACATTTTGACAGTCTAATCTTTTATTTTAATCTGAATCTTCTATCAAATCAGCTATTGGGATTAAATTAAAATCCTGAACTAATCTTTTCAGCACATATACAAAAAGCAATCAGCTCTGCTCAATTTGTGTGATTTGTAAAGACCTGAACTTTTTGCTGGCTCTTACATGATTTTTTTGGATAGCAAAATTATTAAATTTCTCCTCACCCCTCTACTTTTTTTTTTTTTTTTTAAGAGACTGGGTCTTGCTCTGTTATCCAGGCTAGAGTGCAGTGGCACAATCATAGCTCACTATAGCCTCTCACTTCTGGGCTCAAGCCGTCCTTCTGCCTCAGCCTCCAGAGTAGCTAAGACTACAGGTATGCACCACTATGCCCAGCTAATTTTTCTGTTTTTTGTAGAAATGAGGTCTCACCATGTTGCTCAAGCTGATGTGGAACTCCTGGCCTCAAGCAGTCCTGCCTTGGCCTGCGAAAGTGCTGGAATTATAGGTGTGAGCCACTATGCCCAGCCGATTTTAAATTTATAAAATGAACATGCTTCTTTGGCTTTTGCTGGAAATTGAATTGGCTATGTTAAAAGGAAAACTTTGTAGAAATTAAATTTAGCAGTGTTTATTTGAGGAAAGAAATGATTCATGAATTGGGCAGCACTGAGAGCTTCACCTAGCAAGATGGGCAGGCAGTATTTATAGACAGAAAAGGGAAGTGACGTACAGAAATAGCCTGATTGGTTACAGTTCTGTGTTTGCGTTATTTGGACATGTCTTAGCAGTCTTCAGCCCATACTTGGCTGAAAGCTGGGCTGCTATGATTGGCTGAGACTTATTACACGAATATACTATCTTCTTACATGAATATACTATCAAATTAGGTTGTGGTTTGTATATTAGGTTACAGCTTGCTATGTATGGGGGCAGCTTTAGACCAAATTTAATTTAACAACTACAAAGACACTGTCTAAAGAGGATGTTACTTTATATTTGAACAGAAGTTTTTTTTTTTTAATTCTTGATCTCAGAAAGATTATGAGGCTGAGACAAGAAGTGAATCTAATACACAGTAACTGGTTTCAAGATTAGAAATGAGAGATTCCCAATTATTGCCCTGTAGGCTGCTGCTTTATCCATCTGAATGGTAGAAGTTAATGTTCTCTTTCATGTCCATTTTATAAGATTCTAAATGAATTTTGGAGTGTAAAAGTCTTTTATTAATATTGGCAGCAATGATAATAATGGCAAATCAGTGGTATTGGTTTTTACCAAGGCATAAATACTTCTGTAATTTCTATTACACATTTATTTTTTAAGCTAATATATCCACATATGAGAAATCAAACTAATTCTTCCTAGTTTCCCTGTTCCTCATACCTCACCCCACAGGTGACTGTGTTTGTTTTATGCCTGTCATTCCAGTGTTCCTTCATGCAGATCCAAATGTTTATTATTTCCCTCCTTTGTACAAAGGTAGTATTCTTTATATTATTCTACAGCTTGCTTTTTCTACTTAATCATATATCTAGTGATCTTTCCTTGTCTTCACATACTCTTTTAAAGGGCACATTTTTTTAAAGGGCACTCTTTTAAATGTGCCCTCTTTTAAAGGGCACATTTATATAGTATTCCATTAGGGAGCTGTACCACTATTTATTTGTTAATGTAACCATTAACAAGTGGTTATTTTGGCCATTATTAAGGAAATGAGTTCCCTGTTTATAGACATTTGGGTTATTTACAATCTGTTGCTGTTAGAAAGAATACTGTAGCAAATATTCTTTTAAATATATGTGGATGTAGGTATTCCCAGTAACGGGGTCATTAGATAAAAGAGTAAACACATTTGTCCTTTTGATAGTTATTTCCAGATGACATTCTGTAGGCAAAGTACATTCACTAAAGTTCTATTATTTAATATTTCCGAGGATTTTCTCCAGCCACTAGCCATGTTATAGTGATACAGTCTCTGGCTGTGCCTTTAAGGAACTGGAGCCAGGACAGACACACAAGTAAAAAGTCAGTTAGCATATGGACGATAACTTGTGTTGGTAGTGCCAGGTTAAATGGGAGCCCAGCGTTGGGGTATTTATTATAAATGAGGTGGGTAGATGGGGAATGGTACAGGGAGGGAAGACTACCTAAAAGAGCCAGACTTGTGTTGGATCTTAAAGAATAAGAATATATTAGCCAAGCCAGTGATCTGTTTTAATACGTACACCAGGTGATTCTGATGCACACCCTAGTTCGAAAACCATCACTCTAGGCAGAGGTTGGCAAACAATTATTATTTTTTTTTTTTTTGAGACAGAGTCTCGCTTTGTTGCCCAGGCTAGAGTGAGTGCCATGGCGTCAGCCTAGCTCACAGCAACCTCAAACTCCTGGGCTCAAGCAATTCTCCTGCCTCAGCCTCCCGAGTAGCTGGGACTACAGGCATGCGCCACCATGCCCAGCTAATTTTTTACATATATATATCAGTTGGCCAATTAATTTCTTTCTATTTATAGTAGAGATGGGGTCTCACCCTTGCTCAGGCTGGTTTTGAACTCCTGACCTTGAGCAATCCGCCCGCCTCGGCCTCCCAAGAGCTAGGATTACAGGCGTGAGCCACCGCGCCCGGCCAGCAAACAATTATTTTTATAAACAAGAGGCAAGGTCCTAGGCAGAGACTCAAGTTCATGAAGTTTGTGATTCTGACTTTTAGGTCTGGTGGAGTTTCTTTCTGGATCTGAGCCAATCAATCCCATGTGAGATTTTTATTATTGTTTTAAACTAGTGCTTCACTTAAAAACAAAGGAGCCATCATCCTCCATTGTAACCAAGGAAATGCAAATTGAAATCAAAGTGAGATGAATTGTTCAGATAACCTGATTGGCACAAATGGAAAACTCTTACATGACGTGAGTCTGGTGAGAATGGTGCACCTGAGAGGTGGTGCAAGTTGGTGTAACCACTTGCATTACCTGATAAAGCTGAATATTTGCATACTCATGGCCCAGCAAGTCTAGTGCTAGATAAATATCCCTAGGCATGGGTCAGCAAATGTTTAATTAGAGCTCAAAAAAACTGAGCTCTAAATTCAACTCAATTTTCCTTGATTCTCATTTGACGGTTGGTTTTTATAGGTCTACCCTGCTGTCCAGTCCTACCCAGGTACCTTCTCCCTCCAACCTCAGTTGCCCCAATTGTTTGTGTTTTTTTTTTGTATTTCTTCAACACTAGCCAACTGCACTTGTCAAGAGCCCCAGTTGTTTTTATGACAAAGTTTCCAGTTCTTTCACCCTTCTGGTTGCTTCAGATTGTTTTGGTCTGTTTGGTTTTTTAATTTGTGAAAGAGTATATCCAAACCTCAATTCAGTGTGCAGTTGGTCTGCAGGACGGCTTTCAGTACTACAAAACATAACAGCTTAAGAAGATCTAGGAACTAGGAGAAGGCAGGGGCATTCTGAAGGCTTGTGCACCTCGCTTCTACTTCGTCACATTCCCTTCCACTTGCTCATTTAGTCCAGCAACAATGCACTGGTTTCCACGTTTTGGTTCTGCTGCCAAAAGTAGTTTTGGTCAATGTATTTATTTTAACAAGATTATTTGACTAAAATAGTATATGTGTTTATATTTTTTAGTAGGATTTGCCACCTCCAGTTCACTTAAGAGTGATTCTTGATCTATGCATTTTAATTTGAGGCAGTTTGAAATCCTTAGCTCATCATTAGAGTAGACAATTGCAAATATTAATTTAGAATAAATTGTATTTTACAGGTTAGATTATGAAGTATGTTATGAAATTCATATGATATCTTTACGAATATCATTACCCTTCATTGCTGATGCTTTTTCTCCTCTCAAAATAACATAATTTGGTAATAAAGTTTCCCCCCTCTTTCTGTTTTAGTGGTGAAACAAGATTTAACAAGGAGAAAATAATTCAAGGTTGGTATAATCCGATTGTTATTTTAGCTCTGTCTCCTAATGTGATGTATGAGTTAATCGGATTTGCTGGGCTGGAGAGGGCTCTGCTGTGGATTGGGATTGCAGAATTAAACCATCGTAACCACAGAATATGATCAGAGCAGTTGGTAACCAAGAGGAACAAATCTTGTAAGTGAACTGGATATAACAAACAGTCTCCAAGTTATCCTTTATGGGTGGGGTCATAGTGCTCAGTCAGCTGATTAAAGAATTATATTGGCTCTAGGTGTCTTAAAATATAACTGTCTGGATTTAAAATGATTCATATTTGGATACATAGAGTTCACTGGCTGGTATTAATGATATTTTTCTGCTAAGATAGTTCTTTTAATTTTGGTAGTAAAAAAGAAGAGGTTTAAAAAGAGAACTTTTATTTTCACATAAGGTTATTTATTCTGAAGAGATTCTTCCTTTGTTCTGTTAATTTGAACTCATCTTTCAATTGCCCTGTGATCCAGCTAGTCTGGCTTTTTAAGAATATCTCTGGTGAACTTTTGGCTAGACACCCTATTTTGGTGCTGTGACTGTAAGAGCATTTAGTTTTGCTTTTTTTGGTTAGGGACTTCTGGGATTTACAGAAACTGTTTTTCACACCCAGTGTGCCTGACTTGCTTTTCTGGAGATGATGCTTAAGTGAACCTTTTATTTTAGATGCGTGCTCCACCCAAGTTACCCTCAGGACCAAAGCCCCTTACCACCTGTCCTTTGGTATTTATTGCTCATTGGTCTTATTTCATGAGAAGCTGACAATGGAGAGTAAATAAAAGTTTTTGTGTTCACACTTGTTTTTAGGTTTGTTTTGTGTTCTTTTCCTGACCTTGTAGTTCTTGACGTTATTTTGTTTTTGAAGCTTTCAAGGCTTATATATTTCTAAGTACCATTTTTATAGCATAGCCGCAGTTTTCATAAGTGGTAATTTCATAAACATTCAGCATCAAGTATTTTAAATTTCTATTGTGATTGATTTCCAATTTAATTGCTTTGTGTTCTGACAATATGGTTTATTTGATAATACTTCTTTGAAATTTGCTAACATGGTTAGTTTTGATAATTTTTCCATTATGTGCATAAGAAAAATTTATTTTCTCTAATTGTTGGAATTGGAGTTATATATAAGATAACCTTATTGATTTTGTTTTTCAAATCGTCTACACTTTGCTAATTTTTAAAATTTACTCATTTGCTTGCATGATCAAGCAAATATCAATTTTTGAGTGAGATCTTGAATTTCTCACTGTGGTACCCAGTTTATCCTTTAGTACTTGAAATTTGATCAATTTTATTTATATATTCTGCTTTTATATGCATTGAGTCTAGTTTATAGGCATATACAAGTTCAAAATTGTTACATCCTCTAAGTGAATTGGATCTTTATAGTGATCCTACAATCAATCCTATTAAGACTTTTGTCATATAGTTCTGCTTTTTTCCTAGTGATATAGCTACTCCAGCTGTTTTGGGGTTGGAATTTTCCTGGCATATATTTTTCCATCTCATTCCTTTCAGCCTTTCTGTGTACTCATGTTTTAAATGTTATCTCATAAGTAGTATTTAGCTGAATTTTGGTTCTTTTTTTTTTTTAAATATAATCTTTTAATTGGCAATAGTGGTCTGTTTACCTTTGTTCTGCTTACTGATCTGTTTGGATTCTTTTTGTTGTTTCTTTCTCCCCTTTTTTCTAGTCTTCCTTTTTCTTCTTACTTTCATTTACTTCTTAAGTGTTTATTTTCTTTTTTTCCTTATTCAGTCTTCTCTTACCTTCCCTACTGGCTTTGAAATGATATATCATTTTTATTCTTTTAATGGTTACCTGTACATTTTTACCATTTATACTTGTCGCAGTCATTTTGGGCTGCTGTAACACATTACCATAGACAGGGTGTTTTAAACAACACACATTTATTTCTTATGGTCTTGGAGGCTGGGAGTCCAAGATCAGGTTGCTGGCAGATCTGGGGAGGGCCTACTCCCTGCTTTGCAGACTGCTGCCTGCTGGTTATATCCTGACATGACAGATAGCAGAGAAAAAGGGCACCTTTTTTTTTTTTTTTTTTTTGAGACATTCTTGCTCTGTTGTCCCTCTAGAGTTCCATGGCGTCAGCCTAGCTCGCAGCAACCTCAAACTCCTGGGTTCAAGTGATCCTTCTGCCTCAATCTCCTGAGTAGCTGGGACTACAGATGCACGCCACCATGCCCGGCTAATTTTTCTATTTTTAGTAGAGACAGATCTTGATCTTGCTCAGGCTGGTCTTGAACTCCTGAACTCAAGAGATCCTCCCGCCTCGGCCACTCAAGAGTGTTAGGATTACAAGCCTGAGCCACTGCACCTGGCCTGGCTGTGACAAAGGGCACTTAAAAGGACATGAATTCCATTCCCAAAGGCTCTGCCCTGTTATCTAATCACCCCAAAGGCCCCACCTCCTAATACCAGCACATTGTGAGGTAGGATTTTAATAGTTGAATTTTGGGGGAGACACAAACATTCATTCTAGCAACACCTAATGAAATATAATATTAATATCACCTCTCCTGAAAACTATGAAGAACTAAGATCTGTCTAGTATCTTAGTCCTGTCCCTTTTTTAACCTCTTTACATAGGCGTTATTGTCTACATTTGTTATTTAGACAATGTTTATTTAGATTTGCATATATATGCCAGTTTCTCTGCTCATCTTTTTTTTTTTTTTGCATCTCAGACCTTCATTTCTCAAGTATATTCTTTGAAAGATCCCCTAGTATACATAGCTTGGCTGATGTTAAAGATAGTTTCGATTAATACACAATTGTAGACTGATGGATGGTTCTCTTAGCACTTGGAAGATGATATTCTGTTGTTTGGTTTCTGTTCCTGTGAAGAAGTCTCTCTCTCAGCCAGATGGTTTCCATGATAGGTAATCTGTCTTTTTCTGTAACTGCTTTTAAAATATTCACTTTGATTTTGGTATTCTTTAGTTTCCCTGAATATATCTAGGAGGGATTTTTTTTTTTAATTATCCTGCTTGATGTACATTTTTTTTTCTTTCTCTGTAGACTTTTGTCTTTCCTCATTTCTAGAAAATTCTCTCTTCATATTTCTCTCTTCCATTTCCTCTATTCTTTCTGGAGTTCCAGTTAGATGTATGGTATAGACTGAATGTGTCTTCCCCAAATTCATAGGTTGAAATCCTAACTGCTAATGTGATGGTACTAGGAGGTGAGGTCTTTGGGGAGGTAATGTGGTCATGAGGGTGCAGGCTCATGAATGGGCTTATATTAATAAAAGGGAGCCGAGAGAATACTCTTGCCCTTTTTCTGTCATGTGATTTTACAAGGAGAAGTTGATAGTCTGCATCCTAGAAGAGGGTCCTCACCAGTACCCAACTGTGCTACACCCTGATTCTAAACTTCCAGCCTTCAGAACTGTGAGAAATGTTTGTTGTTGTGAAGCTTCCCAATCTGTACCACTTTGTTCTAGCAGCCTGAATTAAGACAATACATGTTAGGAATGCACATTTTTTTCTTTATATCTCTAATCTGTCAGAGCGATGTTCCATCTCCTCATATCTGTGCTACATTCTGGGTAATATCTTCAGCCCTGTCTTTCAGTTCATTGAATATCCCCTCAACCAGATCTCCCTTTATCCATTGAGGGTTCCCCTCAGCAGTTCTATTTTTCATTACTAAAACATCTTATTTGGTTCTTGTAGAAAGCTGTCTTGTTGTTTTTGATGCTTCCTGTTAATTTCTTATTTTCATGATTCTATCTTTATGTTTTATTTATAGTTATTTTATAATCTGTATTTGCTGGTTTTAATGTCTGAACTCTTAATGGTTCTAAATCTGTTATTCTTTCTGCTGACTTTCATTCATGATGGATTATTTTGTTGTGTGTTGAATCTTTGGCTAAACTATTATTTGCTCTAAATCAGTAGAAACCGTGTTAGCCTTTGTTGAGAATGGTTTGCTCTGAACAGGATTTGCATTTGATTTGACCACTGACTTCAGACTCCTTACAGGATCCCTTGCTTCCAAGAGTGTGAGTTCAGTCCTTCCACCTTGCTGTCCCACGCCACAGGCCTCCCCACCCCACAGCTCGTGCTGATACCACAGCAACCTCACTTTTCTTGTGTCAGTGTTCACATTCCAGCTTGGAGTTTTTTGGCTGCTTTGCCCCTTGGAGGTCTTCCTTACATCCTGTGAGCCAGCAGTGCAACACACATACCACACACCACACATACAACTTGGTTCTTTTGTAGTATGTAGAAGGTCACTTCACGGTGTTGAATCAGCCTTTCTCCTGGAAATGGACATCTAGGGTATTTTTAAAATGAAGAAAAAGAAAGAGAGGGAGGGAGGAAAGAAGAGTAATACCATTACAATACTGAACATTTGGACAATGTGCATAAAGCAGGAGAAACTTCTAGGTGATGATGCTACCACCCTGACATAGCGCCTGATCAGAGCCAGCTTTTGTAAAATACAGCTGGTGAGGAGAGGGGCAAACAGAAAGAGGGAAAGGCTAAGACATGTGTTCTCATCATCACCTAGTTCCCATTAGGCAAGCATTCTTTTGGAAAACGTTTGAATACCTGCAGCTTTATAGACTTATAGTGATAGCTTAGTATTACTTGCTATTGGCTCTCTGGGAAGTACTCAAGAAGATCTTTCATTAAAATATCGATAAATGCAGTTTACATTCTCTTAAATGTGATTTAGGCCTGGCGAGGTGGCTCATGCCGGTAATTGTAGCACTCTGGGAGGCCGAGGCAGGAGGATTGCTCAGGTCAGGAGTTCGAAACCAGCCTGAGCAAGAGCGAGACCCCATCTCTACTATAAACAGAAAGAAATTAATTGGACAACTAATATATATAGAAAAAATTTGCTGGGCTTAGTGGTGCATGCCTGTAGTCCCAGCTACTCGAGAGGTTGAGGCAGAAGGATTACTTGAGCCCAGGAGTCTGAGGTTGCTGTGAGCTAGGCTGACGCCACGGCACTCACTCTAGCCTGGGAAACAAAGTGAGACTCTGTCTCAAAAGAAAAATGTGATTTACTTTTCATCCTTTATAGATATATTTTTGAATATTATTGTTGCTCTTCTTAATACCACAGGACAAGGAATAGATGAACCTCTTTCAGAAACTGGATTTAAACAAGCAGCTGCTGCTGGTATATTTCTGAGTAATGTAAGATTTACTCATGCTTTCTCCAGTGACCTCATGAGGACAAAGCAGGTAAGTTTAGAGTCAAGGCTCATGGGTCAGAAGTCTTAACAGTTGTGTCATCTTGAAAAAGCTACCAGCCTCTGTGGGGAATTAAGTCATACACAGACATCACACCTAAGCCCCCATCACTCTCCAACAGAACTTTCTTTATTTCCCATTTCTTTTTATTTTGTCCTTCTTGGGTTTTTTTTGTTTTTTGCTTTTTTCTGTAATTTCCAAATTAGAGTAGTTTAGAAGAAAAGGTCTAACAAGAATACAAATAAGTTATCATGAGAGAAAGCCAGCAGAAACAACGCACAGGAGAAATTAACCCACAAAGACATCAGATGTTCAGAATTATCAGATATAGTAAAAACAAACAAAAACATGCTATGTTACTGTTACTATAAAGAAATAGAAGACATGTTAGAAATATCTTTAGGGAATAGATCATTATAAAAATGACCCCATAGACTTAGAGAAGAACCAAATAAATTTCTAAAATGTCAATGGAAGGAGACTTTTTTGACCAACCAAGAGGGAATAATAGGGCTGGCATTTTGTCCACCCCATAAACAAACTTAAAATTTATGAGAGCCCTGGACAGAGAAAAAGCTCTAGCAGTATGTATAAGGATCCCCTTAAATCTTTGGTGGATTATTAATCTGTACATGTATAGGGTGAAATTGCACAAGGCCAGGCAAAACACCAATTCAAGGTAGAGAGCAATTACTGGGGCGCTATAAGCAGAACATTTCCTAGAGCTTACACAGGGTAGGGAATCATTTGATTTTCCACAAGCTGAAATGGAGAGATTTTGTTGAATACATACAGCATATACCATGTTTCCCCGAAAATAAGACCTACCCATAAAATAAGCCCTAGCAGGATTTCTAAGCATTTGCACAATATAAGCCCTACCCTGAAAATAAGACCTAGTGACAGGCGTGGCTTATGCAGCGTATCTGCACAACCCTTGCATTTTGTCGCGGAGCAGTAGAGAAGATGAGCAGCCTTTCTCATCTGCCCAATGAGAGCTCTATTGCTCGACATGAGAGATTGGGTCCAATGGTTCTTTTTTTTATTATTATTTCAGCATATTATGGGGGTGCAAATGTTAATTACGTATATTACCCATGCCCCCTCTCCTCCCTCGAGTCAGAGCTTCAAGTGTGACCATCCCCCAAACGTTGCACATCTCACTGGTTGTGTTTGTATACACCCATCCCCTCCTCCCTACTCCCACCTGCCTAACACCAAATAAATGTTATTCCTATATGTCTACTTAGGTCTTGATCCGTTAATACCAATTTGCTGGTGAGTACATGTGGTGCTTGTTTTTCCATTCTTGAGATACTTCACTTATTAGAATGGGTTCCAGCTGTATCCAGGAAAATACAAGAGGTGCTATATCACCATTGTTTCTTAAAGGGGCCAATGGTTCTAAAGGAAATACAGTCGCAAGAAATTCAGGATGGAATTTGGGGTTTGGAGAGTTATGACGATGTTCCAGAAGAAGATGACTTAACTATATTTGAATAAATGTAGATTGTTGTACTGTGCTTAAAAAAAAATCACAGCCCCTGAAAATAAGCCCTTGGGTGTCTTCTTGAGGAAGAATAAATATAAGACCCTGTCTTATTTTCGGGGAAACATGGTAGTAGAGATTCAGAAGGATCATACCTTAATAATAAGGCTGTCGTGGCCCGATTACGGGACAGGGGATGACACACAGAACATATATATAGGATGCAGACAGACAGAATTGGCTGCAGTCCCAGAAGGAAAAAGGACACAGAGACAAGAGATGGTTTCAGACTGCAGCAGCCAAACTCTGCCAGTCATTTATTTTATACAGCTTAATTGGGCAAGCGTCCCGCAGCTATTTTCTCATGCTAGCTACTTTCCCAGCTACTTTTTGGTACTGACTTCCCAAGGCCAACAACACCTGCTTTTCCAGTCAAAGCAAAAAGTGTGGCCTTCTACAAGAGATCTCTTTGATGTTTGGTACTGTTTTCAGATAAACAATCGCAGCTCGAGTGCGAGACCATAAGTCCTTGACCATCTTGTAGCGCCTAGCACCACATGCTGGTTACCAGGCAACCTTGGCTGACATGCGAGGCCACAGGTCCTTGGCCATTTGCCTGGAGAAACAGTTTCTTTAGCTGGTCAACAAGTCATGTCCTGCTAATTGTGGAAACAAGCAATGGGCTCCCGTTCTGCTGACTTGGGATCTCAGCCAGTCTGACCCTGGGATGGCTCGCTTGCTTCAGCTCACTTCAAAGGCTAAACTAACCTTAGAAGAAAATAATGAGAGAAATAGAAGATACAAAAATAATATTTTCTTAAAGAACCAGATTGAGAGATGAAAAATAAAATATTCTGTAATGAAAATTGTACAAGATAGGATTAACAGCTGGTTAGACACTGTAGAAGAAGAGGTCAGTAAATGTGAAGACATAGCAACAGAACATTCTAAATTAGCCATGGAAAGAAAAAAAGGCTAAAATGGGACAAAGGCTAAAATGGGACAGAGTTTCAGTGAAGTATGGGACAATATCAAGCAATCTAATATACATATAGTTGGAGTCCCACAAAGAAAATGGAGAAGTGGAAGTGAGGATGAATGTGAAGATTTAAAAACTGTTTTTGAAGAAATAATAACAGAATTTTCCAAATCTATACCCAGTGAAAATACTTTTAAAAAATTAGGTGAAATAAAGAATTTTTTTAAAGCAAAAGTTGCGGGACCAGAAATAGAACTACACTTATGTAGTCAATTGTTATTTTGTTTTTGGTTTTTTGGTCAAATTAAATTCCGACAGAGGTGCCAAGGTAATTCAGTGGAGAAAGGGTAGTCTTTTCAATAAGTGGTGATCGTATGGGAAAACATGGACTTTCACCCTTACTTCACACCATGTACATAAACTAACTCAAAATTGATTATGAAACAAATCTAAAAGCTAAATCTATAAAATTTCTTTGAAGAAACATTGGAGAAGAACCTTATGACCATGGGTTGGCCAAAGATTTCTTAGGCCAAAACATGAACCATAAAAGAAAAGTTCAATACATTGGATTTTATCCAAATTAAAACTTCCTGTTCTTTGAAGGATTGCCGTGGCCCGTTTATAGGACAGAGGATGAACACAGAACACAACAGAAAACACAGACACACATACAAAGACAGTTGACTCGAGTGTTAATACACTGGGTTAGTTTTATTTTTATACTCTAAAAAATTAAAGTTAGTTCCTTATACGCAACCACCCAGGCATTGCAGCAATGGCCATAAATTCTGGAACACGTAGCCTTAAGGACCCAGATGTCCCCTGACTCAAGGTTTCCAGGTGATTGCCCCTAGGCGCCAGGCATACGGACCAAGATTAGCAAGGATGGGCAAGACAGCCACAGGGGGCATTTTTCATCCCCATTTCTTTTTAGGCTGATCTCCTGCGGCTGTGCCTGGCTTAGGTCATCCCTCCCTTGAGGGGTCTTACCCGTCACTGACTAACCAGCCATTTTATGGGGCTTAAGCAGCAGTCACAGGAACAATATGTTTATTGTGTGGCCTCCAGACCCCCACTGCCGTGAGGCTGGGCAGCTCTTGCTTACTTGCAGCTCAGGTCCTTTGTTATGCCTCCAGGCAACAACCTTGTTTGTCACAAGGCCCTGTCCTGTGACACATTACTTTCAAACGCTCTGGGCAGAGCATGTACATTACTAAATTTAATTCTTAAACCAGGAAAATATAATGTCCGTCCCCAACAAAGGATTAAGAAATTGAAAAGGCAAGCCACAGATTGGGAGAAAAATTATAAATAAGTGTATTATATTAATATATATAATGTATGTCATCTGAGTGTGTGTATATATTTGACAAACTGTGTGTATGTGTGTAAATTTTTTAACTCATTAATTAGACAAACACCCCACTTGAAAGTGGGCAAAAGATTTGAATTTGACCAGATACTTGACAAAAGAAAATGTATGTGAGGTGAGTAAACAGGTGAAAAGATGCTCAAGCAGCACTGATCATCACAGAAATGCAAATTAAAGCCACGGTGAAATACTATTGTACACACATTTGAATGGCTAAAATTAAAAACAAAAGGATGTGGAGCATCTAGAAGTCATACATTGCTGATGAGAATGTAAAATGAACCAACTGCTTTGACAGTTTATCATACACTTAGTGTATCATCCAGCAGTTTCAGTTCTAGAAATTCATCCAGGATAAGTAAGAATATATGTCTATGCAAAGACTTGTAGACAATTGTTTAATAGCAGCTTTATTTGTAATAGCCAAAACAACCCATGTATCCATCAGTAGGTGATTGGATAAATGAGCCATGGCATATTCGTACAATGGAATACAACTCAGCAATGAAGACTGAATTACTGATAACATGCATCAACATGGATGAGTCTCAGAAACATGCTAAGCGGAAGAAGCCAGACACGAAAGAGTATATACTGCATGATTCCTTTTATATGGAACTCTAGAAAAGATGAGGCTGTAGTTAGTTATATAAAGCAGATTGGTGGTTGCTTGGGGCCATAAGTAGCCATACAGGTGTTATCTGATTATTGGAGTTATCAGACATAGACTTTAAAAATAACTGTTAATACATAGGTGGAAGACAACATTAAGAATTTTAGCAGACAACTGTAAACAATAAACTAAATGAGAACCAAATGGAAATTCTAGAATGAAAAATATAACTGAAATTAAGGCTTAATGGATGGGCTTAATGGCAATTTAGACATATTTGAATGGAGAATTGAGCTAGAACAGTGGTTAGTAAACCTTTTCTGTAAGGAGCCAGATAATAAGTATTTTAGGTCTTATGGTGTGTATGGTCTCTGTCACAACTGTTCAGTTCTGGTGTGGTGGGACAGCAGCCATAGGCAATACATAAATGAGTGGTGTGGCTGTGTTCTAATAAAATACTTCATTGACAAAAGTAGATGAAGGTCTGGATTTGGCCTGTGGGCTGTTGTTTGCTGACCTTGAAACTAGAAGATAGGTTAGAAGAAAATATCAAAATCAGGCATGAAGAGACAAAAGGCAGAGAAGTATAGAAGAGAGGCAGTTTTTGCAAAGGAAAATTATTGCTAGTTCTTTTTTATTCAGTAAGATGACATGTATTATTTTGATGTTTCAGCCAGGATGGTGTTTTTTTTTAATAAGAAAAGAAACAGTTGTCTTTCAATTTTCAGACCATGCATGGAATTTTGGAGAAAAGCAAATTTTGCAAAGATATGACAGTAAAGTATGATTCAAGACTTCGAGAAAGAGTAAGTAATTTATTTACATATCGTTCTTTACCATAAATTTTCAGTAAGCTCCCTCAGCTGATTACATGGCTAAAAATTAAATGCATTCCTGCTAGGGATTTAGAATCAGCAAACATGTTAAGAATCTACCCTATGACAGTCACTGTTACATACTCTCATAATAGCATCTTGTTTAATTATTAAAATTATGAGATACTTCTAAAAGTAAGTATCCTTGTAAGAACTTAACACAGTATGGAAGAGTTCAAAGTAAAAGTGAGAATTATGGATATTGTATAATTTATGTGACCCAGCTACTACTAATGGACGTGTAGGTTGTGACTAGATTTCCCTGATGTAAAAAATGTTCAAGTAAACATCTTTGCAGTTAATTCTTTTTAGACCTATTTAATATATTTCTAGAAATCGACATTGGTGAGTATGCACAGTTTTAAGGCCTTTATCTATATTGCAAAATTGCCTTCTAGCAAGGCTGTGTCAACTTATAGTCCTGTAAATGATCTAGGAGAAAGTTTTGTTTTTTTCACATCAACACTTGATATTATTAATGTCTGTTTGATCTTCTGATTTAATAGCTTAAAAATGGTGCCATATTAATTTTTACATTATTAATTCCTAACAAAAGATCTCACATGGTTCTTGGCCATTTATATTTCTTTTGTGATGTATGTGTCCTTTGCTCGGGCTCAATCTTAATGTCTCTGGGAAGCTAATGAGCTTTGAAGTCACAAAGATCTGGGTTTGAATTTGAACTTTGCTAATTACTGGCCATGAGAAAGGGCCAAGATGTGATGGCTTACCCCTGTAATCCTAGCACTTTGGGAGACTGAGGTAGGAGGATTGCTTGAGGCCAGGAGTTCGAGACCAGCCTGAGAAACATAGTAAGAGCCCATCTCTACAAAAAATAGAAAAATTAGCCAGGCAAGGTGGTGCGTGCCTGCAATCTCAGCTACTTGGGAGACTGAGGAGCGAGGATTGCTGGAGCCCAGGAGTTGGAGGTTGCAGTGAGCTATGATGACGCCTCTGCACTCTAGCCTGGGTGACAGAGCGAGACTCTGTCTCAAAAACAAAACAAACAAACAAAGAAGATTTCAACTGTATTTTCTAGGTTCATGGCCCTCTACTGAGTATATTTCCATTATCAGGTCATAGGAGGTATGATAACATAAGTGGAGGAAACTAAGCTTATTCCTAGGTTGATTGTTTGGAATTTGATCGCTTTTACAAATACATTGTAAATACACATGTATTTAATGGTTGTATTGCAAATTCATTTGAGACACTTTTATCTCTTGGACATTGCAGAGATACGGGGTTGTAGAAGGCAAGGCACTGAGTGAGCTGCGGGCCATGGCCAAAGCGGCTGGGGAAGAGTGCCCTGCGTTCACGCCGCCTGGAGGAGAGACGTTAGACCAGGTGTGTAGCACTGCCGGCGTCACAGTGGCTGAAATCGGACTCGTTTTGTAAATTAGATGTTTCTGAGTTTTAGCCAACTCATTTGAATAATTGCTTGGTTAATAAAATAATATGGCACATACCATTTCTCTTCTCCTTTTTAAATTATCCTTTCTTGTTTAAGTTGGCCACCATTACTGATGATGGGCTTAAGGAAATGTGTTATTAGATTGTAATTCTAAGAAAAATCTTTGACTGTGAAGCACTGGGGTTAGCAGTGGTAGTGGTGTTCAAAGAGGGTAATAGGCAGGTCACCCAAGAAGCAAAATAATTTTTTTTTCTATCTCCATAAATTACTTTGTATTTTCTAAAATTTTACATAAGTGGACTGATACAGTGTGTGCTCTTCTTGTCTGGCTACTTTCAACAATTATTTTGATGTTCATTTTGTAGATATCAGTAGTTCATTCCTTTCTATCACTGAGCAGTATTCCATGTATGGATATGCGGTTGCTTATTTATCTTTTTACCTATTGATGGACATTTGTGTTGTTTCCTTCCAGTTTTTTGTTGTTATTACAAATACAGCTTCTATGAACGTCTGTATACGTGTCTTTTTTTTTTATTTTAGCATATTATGGGGGTACAAGCGTTAAGGTTATGTATATTGCCCATGCCCCCCTCCCCCCTCGAGTAAGAGCTTCAAATGTGTCCATTCCCCAAATGTTGCACATCTTACTCGTTATGGTTGTATATACCCATCCCCTCCTCCCCCTTCCCACCCTCCCAACACCCAATAAATGTTACTCCTATATGTCCACTTAGATGTTGATCCGTTAATACCAATTTGCTGGTGAGTACATGTGGTGCTGGTTTTTCCATTCTTGAGATACTTCACTTATTAGAATGGGTTCCAGCTCTATCCAGGAAAATACAAGAGGTGCTATATCACCATTGTTTCTTAAAGCTGAGTAGTATTCCATGGTATACATATGCCACATTTTATTAATCCACTCATGAATTGATGGGCACTTGGGTTGTTTCCACAGCTTTGTGATTGTGAATTATTGTGCTATAAACATTCGAGTGCAGGTGTCTTTTTCATAAAGTGCCTTTTGATCTTTTGGGTAGATGCCCAGTAGTGGAATTGCTGGATCAAATGGTAGATCTACTTGTATTGCTTTAAGGTATCTCCATACTGCTTTCCACAGAGGTTGAACTAGTTTGCAGTCCCACCAGCAGTGAAGGAGTGTTCCTCTCTCTCCGCATCCACTCCAGCATTTGTTGTTTGGGGACTTTTTAATAAAGGCCATTTTCACTGTTAACTCCAGTGATATCTCATTGTGGTTTTGATTTGCATTTCTCTGATGATTAGAGATGTTGAACATTTTTTCATGTTTGTTGGCCTTTATTCTGTCCTCTTTTGAGAAGTTTCTGTTCATGTCCTTTGCCCATTTTTTTGATAGGGTTGTTTAATTTTTTTCTTGCTGATTTTCCTGAGTTCTAAGTAGATTCTAATTATCAGCCCTTTATCAGATGTGTAGCTTGCAAAAATTTTCTCCCATTCTGTGGGTGTCTGTTTGCTCCTTGACAGTTTCTTGGCTGTGCAGAAGCTTTTTAATTTGATCAGGTCCCATTTGTTTATTTTTGTTGCTGTTGTGATTGCCTTTGGTGTCTTCTTCATAAATTCTTTGCCTAGACCAATGTCTAGAAGAGTATTTCCAACATTTTCCTCTAGAATTCTAATAGTTCCACACCTAAGGTTCAAGTCTGTTACCCAGCGTGAGTTGATTTTTGTGAGAGGTGAAAAGTGTGGGTCTTGTTTCAGTCTTCTACATGTGGCTATCTAGTTTTCCAGCACCATTTATTAAATAAGGATTCTTTCCCCAGTTTATGTTTTTGTCTGCTTTGTCGAAGATTAGTTGGCTATATGAGGATGGTTTTATATCTGGGTTCTCTTTTCTGTTCCACTGGTCAATGTCCTTGTTCTTGTGCCAGTAAAAAGATGTTTTAATGACTGTATCCTTATAGTATAGTTTGAAGTCTGGTAAATTGATACCTCCTATTTTGTTTTTACTGCCTAGGATTGATTTTGCTATCTGGGGTCTTCTCTGGTTCCATACGAAGTGTAAAATTATTTTTTCTTTATCTGTGAAAAATTATGATGGTATTTTGATAGGGATTGCATTGACTCTGTAGGTCACTTTGGGTAGTATAGACATTTTAAAAATGTTGATTCTACTGACCCATGAGCATGGTATATTATTCCATCTGTTTACGTCCTCTGCTATTTCCTTCTTTAGTGTTTCATAGTTCTCCTTGTAGAGGTCTTTTACCTCCTTAGTTAAGTATATTCCTAGGTACTTTATTTTCTTTGTTGCTATTTTAAAGGGAATTGAGTCTTTGATTTGGTTTTCACTTGTACTATTGTTGGCGTATATGAATGCCTCTGATTTCTGTGTCTTGATTTTGTATCCTGAGACTTTACCAAATTCATTTATCAATTCAAGGAGTCTCTTGGTTGAATCCTTGGGATTTTCTAGGTATAATATCATGTCATCAGCAAAGAGTGAGAGTTTGATCTCTTCTGCTCCCATTTGGACGCCCTTAATTCTGTTCTCTTGTCTGATTGTTGTAGCGAGGACTTCCAGCACTATGTTGAATAAAAGTGGAGATAGTGGGCAACCCTGTCTTGTTGCAGTTCTAAGTGGGAATGCTTTCAGTTTTTCTCCATGCAGTATGATATTGGCTGTGGGTTTGTCATATATGGCTTGTGTCTTTTTTAGGTAAGCCCCGTCTATGCCTATTTTGTTGAGTGTTCTTATCATAAAAGGGTGTTGAATTGTGTCAAATGCTTTCTCAGGGTCTGTTGAGAGGATCATATGGTCTTTGGTTTTGCCTCTGTTTATATGGTGAATTACATTTATAGATTTGCTTATGTTGAAACATCCGTGCATCCCTAGGATGAAGCCCACTTGGTTGTGATGAATTATTTTCTTCACAAGCACCTGGATTTAATTGGCTAGTTTTTTGTTGAGAATTTTTGCATCTATATTCATAAGGGATATTGGTCTGTAGTTTTCTTTTTTTGTTGCATTCTTTCCTGGTTTTGGTATCAGGGTTATGTTTGCTTCATAAAATGTGTTGGGGAGGAATCTATCCTTCTCAATGTTGTGGAATAATTTCTGCGGGATAGGCACCAGTTATTCTTTGTAGGCGTGGTAAAATTCAGGTGTGAAACCATCTGGTCCAGGACTTTTCTTTTTTTTTTTTTTTTTTTTTTTTTTAGCAGAGTCTCACTTTGTGTCCAGGCTATGTGAGTCCGTGGCTCACCTAGCTCACAGCAACCTCAAACTCCTGGGCTTCAAGCGATCTCCTGCCTCAGCCTCCCGAGTAGCTGGACTACAGGCATGCCCAATGCCCGGCTATTTTTTATATATATATACTCAGTTGGCATTATTTCTTTCTATTTACTAGTAAAGAACGGGGTCTCGCTCTTGCTCAGGCCGTTTGAACCCTGACCTTAGAGCAATCCCCGCCCCTCCCCAAAGTAGGATTAAGCAGGCGTGAGCCACAGCGCGCCGCCAGGACTTTCTTTTAGGAAGGTTTTTATTGCTTTCAGTTTCAGTATCTTGGATATTGGTCTGTTCAGAATTCATTTCTTCTGTTGACCTAGGAGGCTTTGTGCTGTTCTAGGAATATGGTCCATTCCTCCCACATTTTCATTTTTGTGGTGCTAGAGGTTTTTGTAGTATCCATGAAATTATTATCTTGTATCTCCACATGCATCAGTTGAATTTCCCTTTATGTTTCCTGATGGAGCTTATTAGAGATTTTTTTCCCCGCTTTCATTACTTAGCCATGGTGTTTCAATTTGTTGTTTATTTTTTCAAATAACTTCCTTGTTTATTAATCTCCATAAGTTGTTCTGTGTCAATTTCATTGTTCTTGAATGATCTTAATGATTTCACTCTGCTGGGTTTGGGGTTGGTCTGTTCTTCTTTTTCCAGCTCTTTGAGACGATTCAGTAGGGTTCATGTTTTCAACTTTGATATAGGCATTTATGGAAATAAACTTCCTCTCCAGTGACTGCCTTTACTGTGTCCCACAGGTTTTTGGTAACTTGTGTCACTTTGTTCGTTTAGTCAAAGACATTTGATCCATCCTTGATTCCTCCATTTATGAAGTGATGCATCAGCAGAGGTTGTTTGTTCATGATTTGTGTAGAAATGAAGACCTCCTGTTACGGATTGATTCCTACATTATCCATGTGGTCTGAAAAGATACATGGTATAATTTCTATTTTTTAAAATTGTTTGAGACATGTTTTGTGTCCTAGAATATGGTCAACCTTAGAGAATGACCCACAAGCTGATGAGAAGAATGTATATTCAGTCGCTTTGGGGTAGAATGTCCTGTAAATGTCAGTCAGGCCCATTTATTCTAGAGTTCTGTTTAAGTCCATTATTTCTTTGTTGATTTTCTGTTTGAAGGATCTGTCCTGTGCTATCAGTGGGGTGGTAAAGTCTCCAACTATTATGTTGTTGTTGTTTATCCATTTGTTTAGATCAAGTAGAGTTTGATTTATGAATCTGGGTGCACCAAGGTTGAGTGCATATATATTTAGAATTGTTATGTCTTCTTGTTGAACTATACCCTTCACCATTATATAGTGACCTTCTTTGTCTTTTATTACTTTTGTTGATTTAAAAACTAAGTTATCTGTAATCAGCACTGCCACACCAGCTTTCATTTGGCTTCCATTTGCTTGAAATATCATTTTCCACCCCTTTACCTTTAGTCTAATTGCATCCTTGCAGGTTAGATGTGTTTCCTGAAGGCAGTAGATACTTGGCTTGTGTTTTTTTATCCATTCGGCCAGCCTATGTCTCTTGTGTGGGGAGTTCAAGCCATTCACATTTATTGAGATAACTGATAGGTGGGGCAGATTTCTGTTCATTATGTTGGGTTGAACTTTGTTGCTTTGTTTTCTCTCTTGAGCCATTGTAGTGTCTGGGCTTTGATCTTTAGCTTTAAGTAGATTTACATTCGTGAGTGTTTATTGTGCTGATCCATGGGTAACACTGTTTTGAGTACTTCTTGAAGGACTTGTCTTGTCTTGGTGAATTCCCTCAGTCTTTGCTTACCTGAGAATGTCTTGATTTCTCCGTCATATACAAAACTTAGTTTTGCAGGGGATAAGATTCTAGGCTGGGCATTATTTTATTTCAGAAGAGTGAGAATGGGGCCCCAGTCTATCCTTGCTTGTGAAGTCTCAGTAGAGAAGTCTGGTGTTATTCGAATTGGCTTTCCCTTGTATGTTACTTGCTTCTTTGGCCTTACTGCATGTCGTGCTGTCTTCCTGTTTGCATTGAATCTCCCAGGGGTCCTCTGAGCTTCTTGAAATTGTATATCAAGATTTTTAGCAAGGCCTGGGAAATTTTCCTCTATTATATCTTCAAATGGCTTGTCCAACCCTTGAGTGTTTTCTTCTTCCCCTTCTGGTAACCTTATGACCCTCACATTAGGTTTCTTCACATAATCCCACATCTCTTGTAAGCTTTGCTCTTTTCTCTTATTTCTCTGCTCTATCTCTGTGACTGATTTATTTAATTGGAAGGTGTTATCTTCAATTTCTGAGGTTCTTTCTTATGTTTGATCTACCCTGTTCTTGAGGCTTTCCACTGTATTCTGTAGTTCCCTGAATTGATTCTTCATTTCCAGGAGTTCGGTTAAACTTTTCTTCATTGTGTCTATTTCTTTAGTGAACTTCTGTTCCAGGTCCTGGAGGCTTTCTGTGGTTTCTTTGTGTTGGTTATCGAGTTGTTCTTGCAGGTCATTGAATTTTCTTATGATCCACATTCGAAATTCCTCTTCTGTCATTTTGGTTGCCTGATTTTGGTTGGTGTCCGTTTCTAAGGGGCTGGTGCTCCTCTTTGGGGGTGAGGTTTCCGTTTGGTTCTTCATATTTCCGGAGTTCCTTCACTGATTTCTTCTAATGTCGATCAGTTGTTGCTTCTTTCCTTTAGGTTTTCGTTTGGGTATTCACACTCCTTGTTTAGTTTCTGAGCCAGTAGGTAGTGTCTGTGGGTGAGATTCGACCACTCCCTGTATGATGAGTCAGTAGGTGTGGTGAAAAGGGTATGCAGGATGTCCTCTCTGTCAGTAGGTGGCGCTTGCTTGGAGGAACAGGCTACACTGTTGTTTTTGTGTCCTGTAACCAGCTGTTGTTCCTCTAGAGAGGCACTGTAGTGCCCCAGGTGGTGGGTGGGGTCCTGGGACTTCCAAGTGTGTCCTTTTCTCCCCCTCAGTGAGGGCTGGGAGTGAGTCTGTGCGGAGCTGGGTTGGGTAAGCCTGTCCTCAGGCACCACCAATGCCATTAGCAGGGGTCAAAGTTCTGCGCTCTGCTTCCAAGAAAAGCTGTCAGGGAGGGGCTGGAATGGCCCCGCTCAGTCAGAAAGTCTACGTGTGCGGGTGGGGCTGTCTGTCTGGAGCAGGCCTCGCTTCTTTCCACCCTCCCCAACTCCGCTGCTACTCCTGGGCCTCTGCCAGCAGGCCAGACCACAGGCCACCGGGCCTCCCTGGCTGTGATGCCGGCCGGGAGGTTCCCTGTGCAGGAACGGCCACCTGGGCTGGGCGCACGGCCTCCCTTTGGGAGGAGGGTTGCCCTCTAGGATGCTGATCTGCCCCTGAAGGCACACGCACCTCAGTAGGCTGTTCGTGTGTATCCCTTGTGTGCCCCGGGCAATGCGAGACCTGGGTGCACGGGATCTGGTCTGCAGGTCTGACCTCTGGATCCCAGAGTTCAAACTATATCCCCACCAGGGAGAGGAGTGCCAGTCCCAATTCACCCACGGGGAGCCCAAGCGGAGTCTATGTCTCTCAGCCTTAGGATCTGCCCCATTCTCCTGGGATCACCATGCCAGCAGCACCTTTGAGGGCTGGCAGGTAGGGAGGTCACCATCTTGAGTTCCCCTCAGTCAGCTGTAGGGCCCCGAAAGGGAAGGTCCTGTTCCCTGGAGGTGCCTCTGGCTGGTGGCTATATTGTCCCTCTGGAATAGGGTTGGGGGAAGGGAGAATGAGGCAATATGGCGCCTGCCACGAAGCTCGGGTCTGTGCACAGGAAGTGCCCCGTGGTAGTTGGGAGTCTGGTGCCGCGTCCGCTACAGGCTTGCTGCTTGCTGGCGGTGGCCATCTCTGGGCTGGTGTCTGCAGGTCTCTCCACCTGCTGTGGAGCCCACCAGCAGTCCGAGATACAAGGGAGAGGAAAGTTAACCACTCCAGCTACCCTTGCCGCTGGTCTCTGGGCTGCTCCGGAGGGAGGTCTCAGCTTCCAGTTCTCCTCTGCAACCTCCTCCCGTGGAGTCTCCCATGGTCTCAGGTACCCCTCCTTCCAACCCTTGTCTGATGTATGCTCGGCTTCTTGCTTTTTTTTTCTAATTTCTGCTAGAATCTGTGTTTCTGCAGAGACACTCTGGTGGTGTTTCTCGTCCGCCATCTTGATCTTCTCTTGAAGGAAAATAATTTAAAACATGAAATCTTGAGGCCCCTACTGCCTCTTCAGCTCTGTTAGTGACATCACACTGTGCTTGTATTTGTTCGGAGTGTTTTGCTTTGAATTGCGTTATTGGTGTTTTTTCACCTCTAGTCTTTATTTTCATAATTTTCTCATAAGAGTTTGTATCACTTTCTGGTAAGGGACAGATCTGTTGCTGTTGTGTTCCAGCTGCACTGAAGAGCCAGGTGTAGTTTTCTGAGTACCATTACTTTGTGTATTTCAGTTTACGTGCAGATTTTTCTACCTATACTGAGTGCTTTGAAATCAGGAATGGGAATTGTATCTTACTCATCTTTTGTGCCCAGTGTGATTCCATAGTTTCAGCACTGTGGTGGTACTTACTTAAGCCTGTGGAACTGCTGAGTGGATGGTTAGAAATAGAGATGAGTATCTGCTTATGAAGTACTTATGTTGACATAGTTGAAAAAAATCTAGTCAGTTATGTTTTAAGGAAATCATTAACATGCCTTTATTTCACCTTTTATTTCTTTCCTTACAGGTGAAAATGCGTGGAAAAGACTTTTTTGAATTTCTTTGCCAACTAATGCAATCAGCTCAAAAAGAACACTTTTCCCAAGGAGCTCCAAGCTGTCTGGAAACTTCTTTGGCAGAGATATTCCCTTTAGGAAAAAAACGTGGCTCTGAGTTGAATTCAGACGGCGGTGCACGAGAGTTAGTAGCCAGTGTCCTGGTTGTGAGTCATGGCGCTTACATGAGAAGCCTGTTTGATTATTTTCTGACTGACCTCATGTGTTCCTTACCAGCAACCGTGAGCAAATCCGAACTTGTATCAGTCACTCCCAATACAGGGATTAGTCTCTTTGTCATAAACTTTGAGGAAGGAAGAGAAGTTAAACCAACAATTCAGTGTATTTGTATGAGCCTACAGGATCATCTAAGTGGAGCCGCTGAAACTCGCTAAGTTTAAAGTTACAACAAAATCTAAGAATTTTGAGCCTCTGAAGGGAGTGCCTTTGGCTTTATTTACTTCTGTTCTCTGCTAGCACTGATTTGGAAACTGTTAAAAGCCATTTATAAAGTTCAAGTGGAGTCATAGCCACATAAAACTTTAGTGGAAAACCATTTAGAATCGACTTATTTGTCTGATTACAGTTGGTGTTTTCCAGGGTAATTTTACCACCCTGCCCAGTTACAGCTCAGGATTGTACAAGGATGAAGGAACTTAGTATTGCAAGTGGGGGATTAATAATTTGTTACTATGCTTTTTTTCCTTTTTTATGTTGATGTTTTTCTTTAATTTCTGAAAAATCTAGTGTATCTTATTGATGGTTGGTAAAATGCTGTGTTTTTTTACTATCTCATTCAGTGCTTGGAGGAACACTTTATAATTCACAGTGCATATTTATGATGACTATGTGTTATATTAAAAAATCCTTCAAAGGAAGGAGTCTTACCATCATAAGTTTATGTAAAGTAAAATAACACTAAAATGCTTTACACATAAATCAACTGTTGGAATTTGTCATTCTGGAGGGCTTGAAATATAGAAATACAGAGGAATACAGATAATGTTTGCAGAATGGTCTGGGGGAAAGATGTTAAAATATTATTTGATTAAAAACATTAAGGAAGGAATCTTTGAGCAGAAAATAAAATAATATCCTTTTCTAAACAGTCCCTTCAAAAGGCAAACCCAGAAAGCTAAATAAAAAGTTTGCCTAAGAGAAGGAAGAAAAATATCCACTTGCTTCTTATGTAACCTGTAGGCTAAGGAATTTCTAGTTTGAGGAAGGCTATAAAGGAAGTAAACACCTAATAGTACACTCCATGAAAAGAATAAAAGGGAGTTTCCTTATGAAGAATGACCACATCTGTGGTTATTTTGTGGAAGGCACAGGTGAGGCTGCCTCTTCTTTCCACCAGATGGCACCGGAGGAAAGGGATTTTGGTTAATTTAATTTTGTGCATAAGCTTGGTCCTCCAAAAATCCTTATCTAGATGAAGGAAGTATTTTACATGTAGTTGCTTTTAAGTTACCATGTTGATGAAGCTGTGTGAATCTCAACTTCTAAGAGGATTAATGCCAAAGTTGTCAGTTAAGGCTAAAATCACATATAGTCAAAATTTACTTTGAGCATCATGTGAATCGTATGTAAGGTTCAGTATTGTCCTGTTTTCAATGTGTCCAGCACGACCAGTTTTCTACCAGCATTGGAACAGTGCCTGCATTTGAGCACCAGAGGAAGTATACTGTAAATGAAAACTTGAAAATTTACTGAAAAGGACAAACAATAAATACCCACTGCACATTCTTACCATATAGAAGTAATCTTTCTTTCTTTTTTTTTTTAAAGAAACAGAATATTAATAAGATGTAAGTAGAGTTCCCTTTACCCGGTTCTCACAGTCCTGTTCTCCTGCAGAGGCTAAGGAAGTGGTATTGTTCCGTGCTTTAAAAATGTACATACACATCATCAAGCTATCTGTGTTCTTTATTTTTATTATGTCTGGGGCTCTATGTTGATACGTATAGATCTAGTTAATTATAAACACTATATTGAATAAATGTAGCACATTTTGTTTATTTTTCTATTAGTGGGCATTTAGGTATATTCAATATTTTTTTATAGAAATAATGCTACAAAGAACAGTCTTTTGCATCACTCCTTGTGCTATGTCAAAAGAGCTACATCTCCAAGTTTCACAGAAGCCTAATGGCTCTGCAAAGTGGTTTTACTACTTTCAGTCCTACTAGCGGTATTCAAAATTCCTGTTTTCCACATCTTTGTCCACACTTGATACTGTCTGACTAGTTTTTGCTAATCTGATAAGTAAAAAATGTCTCATTTTAATAAGCTTTTCTGTGATTGTTAATGAATCTGGGCATTTTTTCATATGTATATTGACAATTGTGATATTTCCTCACTGGTGAATCACTGTTATAGTCATTGCCTACTGTTCCCTCAGGCTGTTTGTTTTTTTTTTTTTCTTGTGAGTTGCACAAATAGTTTGGCTATTCTGGATACTAGTCCTCCCTCTGTTATATACATGACAAATATCTTCCAGTTTATTACTTGGTTTTTAGACCTGTGTCTGATGCATTTTTTTGTGTTTTCAATTTTTGAGACAAACCAATATACCTTGTTCTTTATGGGTTGTATTGCTTTTGGGTCCCTCCCCCATGTATATCTTTAAGAAGACTTCTCTATCTTGAGGTCATACGATAATCTTCCTTTTTTTTTTTTTTTTTTTTTTAAATTTTAGAGGACTTTTGAATGTCAAATCTTAAAACTATCTGGATTTTATTTTTTATAGTATAAGGTGAGAATTCAATTTTATGGGGTTTTTTTTCCACTTGGGTAAAACAGTTATCACAATGTCATTATTAAGATTCTGTCCTTTCCCAATTGATTTGTGATTCTATGCTGTCATACCCTCACGTACCCACATTTGCTGGAGTCCGTGGACTTTGTTCTGTTTTAGTTAACTTTGTATTCCCAGATCAGTGTCATATGGAGTTATTGTGGCTTTACAACTGAGTATCCATGGGGTGAGTACTTCCTCTTGTTCATTTTAATAGTTATCTTAGCTATCTGTTCATCTTTGTAAATGTTGGAATTCATTGGTCAATTTCTAGAAAAATTCTTGCACGTTTTATTGGAGGCACATATATTTGTTCAGTAATCTGGTCATTCAATATGTATTTTTTTAGCACATGCCAGGCTACTATAAGAAATATTAGAACTAGCATAAGAACTGTGAATATGTAGCAATGAACAAAAAACAGACTAAGTCGTCATGCTTGTGGATTTGTAGTCTATCCGGGAAGACAGTATACCGTGTCAGGTTGTGGTCAGTGCTGTTGAGCAGACTAAGGCAGGGGCAGGGGAACAGACTGGCAGGAGGAATGCTGCTGTATTCAGGGTGAGAGGAGCAGGATAGTCAGAGTGCTGAAGGGAGTGAGATCTGATCTTGGGAGACAAAACAGGCGGAAGCAACAGGGAGTGTCCTGAGGTGGGATCAGGCTTGACCCCTTTGAGCAAGAGGAATGGGAAAGTAGCAGGAGGACAGAGCAGAGGTGAAGGAGAAGCACACAGGCATATGTGTCCTGACTACCTGTGCTAAGGATCTGAGCTTTGACCCAAGTGAGATGGGTTGCCTTTGGCCAGTTTTGGGCAGAAAAGTGAAGTGATCAGACTTGTTTCAATAGGACTACTGTGGTTGCACTGTAGGGGCATGGTAGGAGCACCAGGCTGGAGGCAGGGACAGTGGCAGCCAGCTTCCCAGCTACTTGAAGAAACGAGAGGTTGGCAGGGACCTGGCCAGACTAAGGAGCTTGCACATGGAATTTCTAGGTTAGCTTCGGGAGGACTGCCATCTTTCCATCTATGAACATCACAGATCTCTCCATTTTCTCTGAGTCTTTTATCTAATGAGGTTTTGTCATTTCCTTTGTAATGTTTTCCCTGCTTTTTGTTTTTTAAGACTTAATGTTTATAGAGAAGTTTTAGATTTCCAGCGAAACTGAGAGGAAGGTATGGGTATTTCTCACATACCCTCTGCCCCACACATGCACAGTCTTCCCTCTGTCGGCATTCCCCACGGAGTGGTGCATGTGTTATGATGCATGAACTCACGTTGACGCACCATTATCACCCAAGGTCCACAGCTCACATGAGGGTTCGCTCTTGGTGGTGTGCATTCTGTGGGTTTGAATAAACGTATAATGACACGTACCCACCATTATGGTGTCATGCGGAGTATTTCCACTGCCCTAAAAATTCTCAGTGCTCCCCCACTCATCACCTCTCCCCCTAGCCTTGCCTGTTTCTGTTGGGTTTAGTCCAAGGCCCAGCAGGGGGAATGGGGAGAAGTTTCCAGTTCCAGACTGCACCCCAGGCTCAGAGCTTCTAGCACAGCCTGTCCCTTGGGCTCCCTTCCGCCTGGAATTCAAACCACTGCTTCCAATCGCCTGTCTCGTATCTTCATGTCCTTCCCACTATTTATCGTCTTCATTTTCTTCTTTTTTTAATGGATAATTGCTCGTATTCAATATCTTCACTTTTGGATGCAGATTCCCCTTTATCACTTTTTAACGTAAACTTTCTTGTGAAAAACATACGTTGCCTAACATCTTTCTTTGGACTAGTTTCTGTAAGGGCCATGTCATTACTAAGCAGTGACATGCTCACGTTAGGGGAAGCACATAAAGTCAGGTATACGGAGAGGACAGTACGTTCATGTCTTCATCTCATGTTCATCCTGTGGCTCAGGCCTGTGCAGGAGATGCAGTATTTGTCTGTACCATTTAGGATAGATAAATGTTTATTTTGTATTACGTATCCTTGCATGTATTTACATTTATACATTGGGCTGGGTGCAGTGGCTCACGCCTGTAATCCTAGCACTCTGGGAGGCCGAGGTGGGAGAATTGCTTGAGCTTAGGAGTTTGAGACCAGCGTGAGCAAAGAGTGAGACCCCATCTCTACTATACATAGAAAAAATTAGCCAGGAGCAGTGACGTGTGCCAGTAGTCCCAGCTACAAGAGAGGCTGAGGCAGGAGGATTGCTTGAGCCCAGGAGTTTGAGGTTGCAGCAAGCTATGATGATGCCACTGCACTCTACTTGGGGGTGACAGAGTGAAATTCTGTCTCAAAAAAATTAAAAATAAATACATTTACACATAATTGTATTTGTGTAAGTTAAATGCTTCTGTTATGTATATCTCTTCTGTATTAAAGTGAGTCGTAGCCTAACTGAAATAGATCATCCTAGGTGAATACACTTAGGCAGAATTATCAGCCCCCATTAAGCACAGGCACAGGAGATGGGAGGGAAAGAAGTATTCAGCAGAGCGGTGCTTCTAGGCGGTGCATCTAGAGTCAGACAGAGCACTCGCCTGCCTGGATACTGAATGTGGCTCCTGTAAAATTTTCTTGAATTATCCAAATGATGGTTTCCACCCATCTTCCTTTGGGTCCCCATCAGTTTGGAAGTATAGCTTTTGAATTAAAGTATATTAGGATATCAATTCCTTTCACTTAAAACAGAGTGGCCAAGTAGATCATCCTAACAGGTAACTAACTACCAGTGCCTAAAAAACTTCAGAGCCCCTCCCCCACCCCTCCACCCCAGTCTTCAGTCAGTTGGTTTATTGTTCAACAGGATGGCCTATGTGGGTAATTTGTTCATTGCCTAATGTCTAATGAGACAAGGCAGTGACACTGAAAAGATCTGTTGTCAGAAGGCCTAGATTCAAGTTCAAGGCCTGGCTCTTAATAATTTTGTGGCTGATCAAGTCTCTCAATATCCCCAAGCTGCTGTATCCGCATATTAGAGAATAATTACAATAATGTGTGTATGTGCATGTGTTTTGGTAACCTTTTATTTTTGATACATCAAACCTACAGAAAAGTTGCAAGAAAAGTACGTGGAACTCCTGTATACCCTTTACCCACATTCACCACTTGCTTACATTTTGCCCCATTTGCCAAATTTGTCATTTGGGCTTATGCTCACTTCCTCTCCCTCCCTCTCCCCCCCTTACCCTGACTGATTCATTTAAGAATAATCCAGACACATCATACTCTTTCCCCCTGCAAAATTTCAGTGTGCATTTCCTAAGATCAAGGATGGTTCTTATGTATAACACAGAATAAACATCAAAGTCGGGGAATTTGACATTGATATTATCTATTACCTAATCCATACACCATATTTAAATTTGGTCAGCTGTTCCATTGATATTCATTGTGGTTATTTTGTTTTTCTGAGTCTAGGATCCAATTCAGGACCATGTGTTGTATTTAGTTGTTAGGTCTCTTCATGCTGCTTTAATCCATACTGTGTCTTTCTTGACCTTGTTATAAAAAAAAAATAGGCCAATTCTTGTGTTGCATTATTAGATTTAGACTGTATATTTTTGTCAGAAGCACTCCAGAAAGGATGTGTCTGTGCTTGGGTCATGTCAGGAGGCACATGGTGTTGTATCTATCTGTTAGTCTGTCCACAGTAAAATTAGTATTTATCTGGTTCCTTATTAAAATTACACTCACCTTCTTGGCCTCCATTAATTATTTTCTGATTCTGTTTTTGCTTCCGTGTTTATTAGCTGGCATTCTACACTAAGAGAGCTGTCGCTTCTACCCTGCTTATTTATGTCAGTATGAACTCAGAGGTTCTTATTCAGTGGCTTATAATACAATACTGTCGTCATTTATTTTATGCTTGCATTGTCCCACATTTGTCCTTTGGGAACCCTCTCAGGCTGTCTCTCATGTTCTGTTGACATAGTCCCATCATCCTGTAGGCACTTCCTTACTTTCTGGTGCAACAGGATATTCCAGGCTCATCTCATTCTTCCCCAGCCCCAGCATCAGCTTTTTCTCCAAAGAGCCCTAGGTTTTCAGAATGAAATGAAAGAGCCTTGGTAGACGTGACAATTAGAAACCAAAATCTGGTTGCTAGGAATGCTCATTGCTAATTTGGCATTCCTTATTATTACTGCATTGAATTCCAATGCATAAATATGCCACAGTTTGTTTAGTCTTCCATTGAACACATTAAGTGTTTCCTGTTTAGGTCTATTGTGAATAAATCTATGAATGTTTTTTGTAAGACTTTTTGTGAGCATATGTTTCACTTCTCTTGGGTAAGTAATCTTAAAAGTAGAATTGCTGAGTTACAGGGTGAGTGTATGTTTAGTTTTACGAGAAACGTACCAGACCTTTTCCCACAATGGTTGTACTTTTTTATGCTCACCAACCATGAGTTCTGGGTGTTCCACATCCTTACCAACATTGATGATGTCAGTCTTATTAATTTTAGCCATTCTACATACAGTTTTAACTTTTATTTCCTTTTAACTAATGATGTGGAGCACTTTTTAATATACAGTACTTATTGGTTATTTATATACCTTCCTTTGTGAAATGCCCATTAAAAAATTGTGTTGTCTTTTTATTGTTGAGTTATAAGAGTTCTTTATATATTTTGGATATAGAAGTCCTTAGCTGTGTGTATATATGTATATGTGTATATCCATACACACATATAGTTATATATAATTTTACTCCAGTCCATATATTTATCATAAAATATAATTTTATTTCATGATTTTTAATGTTTTTTTAAAATAAGAAGTTATTGATTTTCATAAGACTGATTTACCATTGTGTTTGTCCTTGGG